CGATGTCCTGTACTCCTCTCCCGCTTCGCCCGTGGTCGGTTGTGGCCCCATCGTGTCGGGTTCCATTGGACCGCCAGAAGACGCAGTTAGGTATTATTGCCAACTGTTACAGGCCGACCCTATGACAGTCGTTGCAGCACGGACCTGTGACAGTTGCGGCAGCCCGGACCTGTTTCCTTGTCACGGCTCGCGTCCGCCTCCAATCTTAACTCTCGACTGCCTTGATTACCACTTCCAGTATCCCGTACCGGTCGCAGATCTCGTGTTCTCCCTCTATCCCAAGAATCTCTGTGTCTAAGTAAACCTCTCCTTCGGGATCGGCCAACAAGGTCGTTCCTCTCCGGATCTGCAGTACACCTGTGATAGGTCCTCTATCCTTGAGATTGATCGCAGTCACAAACCTAGCCAATGTCTCCTGATCAACACCCCTCAAGAGTCTCCGAGCGTCTATCTCCGTCCTCCTTGCTAGTTCACCTAGCCCTGTCCTGAATCGGTTAGCCCGCTAAAGGCCCTCCTACTGCGATACAAAGTCGCCTATCGACCTTTCTAGCTTCCACTATCCTTCCAAGAGCTTCCAATTTCTATTTTCACTACCTCATCTCCCAGACGGCTACGAGGTCATCTGTCTAACAGTTGAGGTAAGTCAGTGCTTTAACCATTTGTAACTTCATCGCCGACCGCTCCAATATGTCATAAAATGTCTCAAACTCCTCCTTATCTCCACCATCGTCTATCGCCTCTAAAGTCTTTATCGATTCCTTCTAGTACCGGTCGTGAGCGGCTAACACTCTAAGTATTGCACCATCTGTTACAACTCTCCCTAACTCTCCGGCTTTCTTGGCTTCGCTTATCTTCAACCTCTCAGCCTCTCTGGTCGTCTCGTACCATGCCCTTATCCGAGACCGTCCTTCGAAAGGTGTCACTTGGAGTACGTATTTTATCCTCCGTCCTCCTTCTATTCCAATCCAAAGTCCTGTTCCCCTAGCCTCACGCAGCGCGCGGCGGACACACTCTGCCTCCTCAACTATGCACAGTCTGGTATGGAGCTGGAGTTCTATGATCACTAACACTAATGGTCCRTCCAGTCTCCCTACCACATATAATGAGTACCGATCCGTCGTGTGTAGTGCAGTCCCGCTCATGTTCCGTCGCTACTTCCCTGCGTTACTTTGTCTTCCGTTGTCTCACTCTCTGCAGATCGCTCACTAGTTTCTTCGCATGATACGCTTCTAGCCTTTACCCTCTCCAGAAAGTCTGATCTCCATGCCTGGATAATCTCTCTTTCCTCCCTAAACAGATTCTCTAACTCTCTCGTCACGAGTTCAGCCCTACGCAACTTGCCCTCGTCCTGACATGACCAGATCTCCCTTAACTTGTCTCCCAACTTCTTTACCTGGTTCAAGAGTGGTTCTTTAACGTTCTTTCTCACTCTTCCGACTCCCTCACTCTCCTCTTCCATACTCAGTCCACATCTTTTTCCAGCTCACCCTCTCACCTTCGCTCTAGCCTCCGCTACTGTCTCATCGTGGTAGTGCTCCGCGTGCATATAACCATGAGACCATATGATCACGTCATAGGAAATCGAGGTCTTGAAGGTCACTCGCGCCAGTACATCAGCTCTACGCTCGTGGATCAAATCCCTAGCTCGTTGTCTGCACTCACTCGCTGTCAAGTCCTTGTCTACGTACGCTCAGGGAAGTACTGTCACAGTGTATTGTGCGCTGACCAGTTGCTCTTCTACACGCATCACCGTGGTCGTCCTTCCCGGCATTCCCTAAGCTGCGGCCTCGAAGAGAAACTCACATCCTCTAGCCCCGTGTTATCGATCTTTGCCCGTCTCCTGCAGTACCTAATCAGATCGATTGGCCTCAGACAGTTCACCCAGCTAGTAACGTCTATGATGTCGTCAAGCGTCTCTCTACTGGGCGGCCCCCACCTCACACAAATGGCGTAGTATACTTCCTTGAAGCGGGGCGCTAAGCCCTCCCAGAGCGCGTAAAGTGTGTGGTCCACTGCTCTACTCAAACGATCCACGCTCCCATAGGTCTGCTCTATCACGAAGGTAGGAAGTCCGAATCGCCAAACCTCTCGGGTAGAGGGTCGGATGTGGTGGACCGTATACCAAACAGCTCCAACTCATCCTCCCTCCAGAGAGTCTCGCCAATTGCTGATTAACGATCACTCTGGCCAACAACTCGCTTCTCCACCAACTCCTGCTCGCCCCTGCGAACGTTAGTCCTATCTCTAAATCGTGTGCTCTATCCGCTATGAGATGTCCGACCCCTTCTAGATCATGAGTCCTCTCGGGTCGTTCGTCTCGTAGTATCACTGTCCAAAGGAAGAGCCCCTCTGCGAGCCACGTTYCCAAGTATCGTATCGGTACACGCCCTTCCTCTTCTAACGCCACAGGAAGTGGTATGTCGTATCCAACCGCCGTCTCTCTGGGTCCCACAAGCTTCCTCCCACTATACGATTCAGACTCTCGTGAGAGAACATAAGCTAACCAGGCCACTGAATCACTCCTCATCTCTTCTCCTACTCTCGGTCAGCATCACTCTACTCCCTCCGATGCACCCCATCTCTCGACGTTGCTAACCGTCCAGACAACTCTCGCAATCAGGTCCAGTATGGTCGAGTAGGAGCAGTAGCTAAGCTCACTCAACCGTCACTCTAATGTGCTCCTCTACCTCCTACGTCCGGACTGCTACCCCTATCCTGGGAAAATGGGCGTCTGTAACGTCAATCTCCTCCTCGYCAACCTCACTCTCTCGGTCGACCCAGTCTGGCTCCCAGGCGTCCTCGTCGTCCTCTCGCTCCCAACCCTCGTCGTCAAACTCGTCCTCGACGCGGTATGGCGCCTGTCCTATACCCTGGTAGTATTGCGCCAAATGATGGATGTATATCAGAGGCCGCCCGGCGTCCTCACCCCACCAGCTCTCCCAGTCATCTGAGAAGAGCCGCCCGATGCACGTCACGTACTCGGGGCCTGCTCGAAGCTCGCAGTCTAGCCAATCCCAAACGCACGGAGACTGGGGCCACTCGTCGTCTATCGAGCGGATCAACTCTATAAGCTGAACCCTCTCGTCTCCCCAACGAGGCCCACCGGTTGCGAGCGAATAAAAAATGTAGTCTAGGTCGGCAGGCCTTCTCGCCAGGATCTTGAGATCCTGATAGGCCAGGTATGTCTCGACCACTCCACCAATACCTCCAAAGACGCTCTCTACTACGAACGTCGGAACTATCACCCGCAGGCTCCTAACGTTGTACGGGAAAAACCCGTCCCGTGCTACCACCAGCTCGCCCGTGATATCAAGAGGAGGACGTTCGTGAAATAGGGTCAATGGGTCGCTCGAGTCCGCTCGGAAGGCAGCTACCTCTTCCCCTAGGTAGCGTAACGCCCTGCTAATTGTGTCACTAGTCCCTGTCGTCGCGAGGCCCACCACGGCCTCCCTGACCGCACCCGGTCCCAAATACAAGTAGGCTCTCACTACGTCACTCCTTGCCCCGGCCGGTGCTCTCTGTACGTCCAAAGCCACACGTCCTCGGACAAGTTTATGAACCTCCACGCAAACTGGCCGTCAACGTGTCGAATGTTGCGCCCGGGGATCGTTAGTTCGACCAGATCCCCCTCTATGAGTTCAGGGGGCTCCAAGTCTCAGTCAATGGTTGCCCCATAAACCTCTGCTTGCACCCGCGGCCACATTCAACTGGCAGCTAGAGAGAACGCAGCAAGAGGGAGGTGTAGATTAATAACTGAAAAATTCCCGTCGCTCGCCTCACGCCTTCGGAAACAAGCTAGTAGGTTCACTCGAAACCAGGTTTCCACAGCGTCTTTTTCCCTTCTTCTTCTAGGGAATTATTTCGTATTTTTCAATTATAAATTAAAAAAAATGTATTTAATTAAGATAAAATTTATTTCTTAGTTTATATATATTAAGGATCAATACATATATAAGCCCGCCGAGTTTGATGATTTTTAGGGGTAGA